ATTTTTCTTTTGTTTTTTATTCCTCATAAATAATCTATATATATATATATATATTTATCGTCTATTTGTTTCGAGAAAAAAAAAGCCCACCAAGCCCGATCCTAGGCCTTAATTTGAGTGGGCCTAGAACCCACTTTCTAGTCTATCTCGACTAGCTTATACCGAATTGGTGCTTTGCGGATTAATTAATCGGTCGTCCATAGGTTGAGTACCATTTCGAAAGTCCCTGCCCAAACGCCCCACAAATCACTTGTAGTAGGGCTGTCAATGGATCGGATTTAATCCGAATCCGACCCGAATCCGATAATTCGAATCTATTTACAAAAAATCCAATCCGATAATCCGATAATCCGAATCCGTTTAATCCGTTTATTAAACAGATTGAATATGCAAAAATCCGACCTGACCCGATAATTCGATCCGATTATTCTCAATTTGAATGAAAAAAACACAAAATGAAAAAAAAAATCATATTATATAAAATTGTAGCTCAAAAAGTAAATAAATGGATCGGATTATCGGATTATCGGATTGGATATCCGAAATCATCGGATTCGGATTCGGATATCTATAATCGGATATAGACTAAACGGATTCGGGTTTGTTTTAATTGGATCGGATTCGGATTCTAACAGATCCAATCCGAATCCGATCCATTTATAGGCCTAACTTGTAGGTTTCGAGCCCTCAAGCTATCGTGGTTCTCGTTATAGGTCGGTACGATCTCACCGGACATTCATAGCAATTTCTTCGACTTCCATTCTTAACAAAATCCACCATTGTCCTTCAATTTCACCAGACATCTATTTTAACAAAATCAACCATAGTCATTTTCATTGAAGTTCTTTTCAATTCATCGAACATCCATTATTGACCAAATCAATTCTTACGACTCAATGTAATGTGAACATTCATATAAAAATCATAAATATTCAATTTCTAAAATCAACGGTCCTTTGCGTAATATGTGCGTATTTTAAATGTATAAATTAAATAAAAATGACGAATTACACTAACAGTTTCTATAGTTTGGGTTTCGTATCACTTTGGTCCTTAACTTTTTAATTGTGGCGTACATGAATTTTGAATCTTGTTCCAAATAAAGACAATTAAAGATTCCATTACTTAATTTCAAGAGCAAAATCATTAATTTGATAAAATATAAACTAATTTGATAAAAATAAATGTCAAAAAAATAGTTTTGAATTTTTAAATATTATTTCTACCTACCAAAGATAAAATTATGTAAAATTAATAAATCTTTTAGACATTTATTTATTTTACCAAATTAATTTTTATTATGTGTTTAGATGATGATAATGTAATAGATGATTGTTAGGATTTTAATGTGTAATTAATATATTTAATATATGAAATGTTTTTAGTTTTGAATTTTTTGATTTAATGAATTGGTTTAATAATGATATCAAAGTTGTCATCATATTTGAATTTTGAAAAAATAGAAACTAATTTAATGAAAATAAAAATAACCACCTATTACATGATCATCATTCAAGCATATAATAAAAATTAATTTGGTAAAATAAAAAAATAAATAAATGTTTAAAAAATTTATCAATTTTACATAATTTTATCTTTAGTGACTATAAATAATTTTTAAAAATTCAAAAATATTTGTTGACATTTATTTTTATCAAATTAGTTTATATTTTATCAAATTGACGAATTTGCCCATGAAATTAAGCAATGATATATTCAATTGTCTTTATTTGGAACAAGATTCAAAATTTAAAATCAAATGTGTCACAATTGAAAAGTCAGGGATCAAAATGACATAAACCCAAAACTATAAAGACCATTAGTATAATTCGCCCAATAAACTACAAGTAAATACTTTAGAAAATAATTATAAAAAATTAAAATCTAAATTTGATGCTTACAACGCTTTGCAAATTACAAAACTTTTTTGAGACTTGTGGTGGACACAATCTCCTTAAAGTGGATTTTGCCCTTGCTCCGGTGCTTCAAGTTTCACCTGCATTTTACATCCCAGATGCAACGACTATATCTTAAATTTGTAACACTACAAATTCAAGCCTGGTGAACCAAACCAGTGTTGTAACTATCTCTTTCTCACAAGTGCTTCCTAATTCTAACTTGCAGAGTATATGCAAAATGAAGGAAAGCAAAAACATGAATAGGAAGAAACGAAAATGAGAGGAAACAGATTAGAAATGAATTAAGATTTGAGGAAATGGTGAAGGCTATTCACAGAAGTATTCGTGACCATTTAAAGGGGTCATAGCTCTTGGGTCATATCCTTTCATATGAAAAATTACAATAAAATGCTGCACGTTTCCATTCTAATTGAGAACAGTCATGACTCTTGAGTCATATCCTTTCATATGAAAAGATACCATTAGGTCACACTTTTTCATATGAAGAGTCATCATAAAAGGTTGTACCTTTTCATACAAATTGAATTAATTCTCATTCACTTTTAAAATTTTTCAACAATTAACAATGTAAACATTTACATTAGAATAAATATTGAATATATTATTCAATAGCAATATGAATATTCATATCATAGCATAATACTAACTTCATTACCATATGTATATTCATAATAGTGAATGTCCATATCAGCACAAAATAATCATATCATAGCAAAATGTTCTTATGAATATAATGTAAGAATCTGAATGTTCATATCACAGTAGAATGTAAATTCATTGTTGATATTTCAAAATCAACAATGATAGGGGGCCCTAATTTCTGTGGCTCAAATGGCTCGAATTTGTCAAAACGACGTCGTTTTGAGTACAAAGCAACATCAAAATTGTCAAAACGATATCGTTTTGACAAATTTAAACTATTTAAGCCACAGAAATTAGGACACTCAAACATTTTCCTTTCAAAATATAAAAAAATGTTCACACCTCTGATTTTCAAAATGTATCATAGGATGGAGAAAATACTTACATCGTACGCTAGAGTTTTGATGTGAGAGAGGACATTGGTGTTGGTAGTAGAGTAGACAACGAAAATACACGGAACAATGATTGTGTTAATGGTTGACGGAACTAAAGTTGTCAGTCACATAACCAGTAATTTTAAAATTGCTAGAGACATAGCCAGTTATTTTAAAGAAATCTATAATATCCCCTATATATGGTATATATTATATGCTAAACGAAAAAAAAATTCCTACAAAGGCAAACATACCAATGAAAATCTTAAATATGGAAACTGAAATTTGATAGATTAAATATTGGAATAAGTAAAAGGGATTTACCACTCAATTTTTCTAAAAATTAAGAGTATGTTTGGTTGGGATTTATAGAGTGATTTTAGAAAAAAAATTTTAAAAAATTTGTTTGGTTTGTAAATTTTTTAAAATAATTTTGAAAATCACTTTCTCTCTCTTACCTATCAATCAATCACTTTTTCTTTCTCCTCTCTCATTTTCAATTATTTTTTCTCTCATACACATCTACTCAATTATAACAAAATATCAAATCATTCCAAACTCCCAAACTCCAAAACTACTTTCAAAATACACAACCGAACAAACCAAAAAAATTTATAAACTTTGTTCCCAAAATAATTTTTAAAAACTACTCTTCAAAAACCAAACCAAACATACCCTAAATCTTCACATATTGGTAAGTATTTTTGATTATATGCCCTCGTTTATAATTTATCCTAAAAGTTATGGAAGATTTTGTAATTTGTTTTTAATATGTAAAATCAAAATATTTGGCTATGTTTGGTAGAGCTCTGGAACGTTGATTTGAATATGATTTTTATTTACGATTTTTAAAAATTAATTCCACATTCACTCTTGAAAACGCGGTCGAATGCGGGAAAATTTAGGCTAACCGGTCGTGGTCGAATGCGGAAAAATTTGGGCTAACCGGTCGTCCTACCAGACGTCTCATCGATCGTTCGACAAGTTGATCGGCCAGTTGACCAGAACAATATAAATTTTATTTTTTTTTACAATTGACACATATTAATTTTTATATATTCAATAAAAAATATTTTTCAAATTTTTTAAAATTTTTTATGAACTGTAATAAAATTTTAAGTTGTATGTTTGGTTATAAGTTGTAAGTTTTGTATCAAATATTGTATGTCACATCTAAAATTTCTCACTCAATTCAAAACTCATTCACCAAATAAATTTTTCATATTTAAATCATCATTTCAAAACTCACAAACTTAAAATATAATTTTATTCTCAAATCATATTTACAACAGTCCACCAAAACAAACCTTTGTTTTTAAATATTTTGACTTTAACGGCAGAGAAGTGGGACAAAACCAAAAAAACCCTAGCAGGTTCCCTCATTTTCCACCGCAGCTTCAACTGTGAAGAGTGAAGAAGCTCCATTTCATATTCGGAGCTCTCTTCGGCGAAAGCACACCATATGGAGACCAGGTACTTCTCTTTCCCCTAAATTTTCTCTTTGACTTCCCCACTTTGTTTTAATTTTCTTGAAAAGACAAAGAAAATCCAATCATGTATTAGAAATCGCTCAGATCTTTTACTTACTAGTAAGATCAAGCCCTTCACCAATTTGGTCATCTAATTTGATTCAAAATTTGAGTAAAAAACTTGATTTGATATGAACTATTCAAATCTTTTTATCAAATTTTCATCAAAATATTTTTAATTTATTTTTCTTAACCCTAATTTTCATTTTCATCAAATTTGATGTAACCAGAACAGTATAATTTTTTTTTTTTTTTACAATTGACACATATTAATTTTTATATATTCAATAAAAAATATTTTTCAAATTTTTTAAAATTTTTTATGAGCTGTAATAAAATTTTAAGTTGTATGTTTAGTTATAAGTTGTAAGTTTTGTATCAAATATTATATATCACATCAAAAATTTCTCAGTCAATTCAAAACTCATTCACTAAATAAATTTTTCATATTTAAATTATAACTTCAAAACTCACAAACTTAAAATATAATTTTATTCTCAAATCATATTTACCACGCTCCACCAAAACAAACCTTTAGAAGTGGGACAAAACCAAAAAAACCCTAGCAGGTTCCCTCATTTTCCACCGCAGCTTCAACTGTGAAGAGTGAAGAAGCTCCATTTCATATTCGGAGCTCTCTTCGGCGAAAGCACACCATATGGAGACCAGGTACTTCTCTTTCCCCTAAATTTTCTCTTTGACTTCCCCACTTTGTTTCAATTTTCTTGAAAAGACAGAAAATTCAATCATGTATTAGAAATCGCTCAGATCTTTTACTTACTAGTAAGATCAAGCCCTTCACCAATTTGGTCATCTAATTTGATTCAAAATTTGAGTAAAAAACTTGATTTGATATGAACTATTCAAATCTTTTTATCAAATTTTCATCAAAATATTTTTAATTTATTTTTCTTAACCCTAATTTTCATTTTCATCAAATTTGATGTAAAAAAATCACCTCCAATGCTTCATCTTTATGAATTTTGATCAAATTCAAATTTAATGAGTTCTCAATTTGATGAAAGAAAAGGTGAAGGATTGGAGATGTTCTAATAGAAGATCTAATTTTAATATAGTTTCAATCATTGATATGCATGTTCCATAATTGGATAGATCCATGAAATCGATTTGCGTAAAGTCAAGTCCTTGTCACAGCCTAGGGGTGTTCACGGGTTGGTTTGAGTTGGGTCTGCCCTCAATATGTCAACCGAACTGAATGCATTTAGTTTGAAAATTGATCACCTGTTATCGACTGATATGGTATTCTAAATCGATCCCATCAAACCATTCAGTTTGACAGTTGGTTTGGTCGGAGTTGCAAACACGACTCTCACATACGAACAATCACAAACTGAGAGTAAAAAACATGAAAGAAAGAGTGATTTGAACGTGCAATTCAAACAAAATAGTGAACAAATTCAAACAAGAAAGAGTTGTGAAAAACATTTTTCAGATAGAGGGAGAGAGAGTGGAGGGGGGCTAGACCTGCTTTCGTTTAGTGAGTGAGAACAAAGAGGTGAAGGGGTTTCAAGAGTTTTCATAGAGAGAGAGAGAGAGAGAGAGAGAGTTTGTATTGGGAAGAGAGAGAGAGAGAGTCATAATGATGAAGAGAAAGCATAGAATCTTCTAAGGTTTTGTACTGGACAAACCCACGTCTAAGTTTTCTTTTAGTTATAAGGTGATAACGATGCTGTGAAAGCTGAAACGGCCAATAAAATGAAGCCACGTGTACAGTTAGTTGGTTTAGTTTAAGTGGTTCAATTTTTTCTGGAGCCATTGTTGACCGATCATATAAATTTCAGCCATTCTAAAACTGTATCTGAAAAATTTTTGTAATGAAGCCGACTGTTCTGGTTGGTTTGGTTTGATTGGGCCAGTCTGTTTGATTATGTGGACAATCATCTCTCTTTGAGCTACTAATTTTTTTATTACCTATTTTTTTCTATCTCTCTATTCTGATTTCAACTTTATCACTTCTCTATTCCTTTCCAAATCTCTCTCTCTCTCTCTCTCTCTCTCTCTCTCTCTCTCTCATGCGTGCACACATGTATTTATAAACTATTGTAGTACATGCCATTAAACTTTATTTACTATTTGTTTGTTCATATTTTCCTGATCTAATCTATTCCCTCTCTATAAATACTTCTAATCTCTTTACACGTCTATCTGACTCAAGCCATTGTTCAATTCCTTAATTCTCTTACCATGTATCACATCTCTCTCTCCTATTTAGTTTCTTGATTTCTTTCCTGTTTCTTCTCACCAATCCACTAAAGAGTCCACCACTTTCACTTCTCCCACATTTCTCTTTTCATAGTTGATTTGTTTACTTTCTCGTTTCTCTTTCATGTGACACAACACCAATGCTGATATATTTATATATATGATCGTATTCTCTCACAAGAACTACCCTATATTTCTATGGCATGCTCTATAATATTCTTTTACATTAATTCACACATTAATAAGATCATTGAGCCACAACTTTAATTCAACATAACCATTATAATTTCTTCTTAATTGAGATTTTACTCTACCACATCAATACCCAAATTTTATTCAATAAGGATACATTACCATTAATTCACCATAATTGCTCAACAAATTACACTTGGCGGTGGGGTATCACAAGAGTGAGGAAATCAAGAGAAACAATGACCTTCCGTTTGGTTGCTGAGAAATCTATTGAAATTTCAATTAACATAATTGACACAATGCGAAAATTTAAAGTTTATGCAATTGGAACTATAGGATCAAATTGACACAACAAGCAACCTATATGGACCACATGTTTAATTTTCCCTATAAGAAAATAAGAAAGGCCTTGAAGAAAAATTATACGAGAAGTGCTTGAAGGGAAAAATTAATTTTGCAAAGAGAAAAAAATAGAGAACACATAGAAGAAAGAGAATATTATCAAACATGCCTCTAAATTGATAATTTTGAGTCTAAACAATAACGCTAATCACTTTTGTGTTGACATTTATTTATTTATTATTTTTTTAAGGAATCTTAAATGATTTAGGGCGGGCAGAATTATGACTTCTCAGGGTTAAACAAAGAGCACTTTGCAAATATATAGGTACTATTGCAATTATTAAAAAATTAAGGTCGTGTACATCCCCCTTCTGGTCCCTTTCGTGCATTCACCACTGCCTACTAGAATGAAATTTTGACACACTTTATCTATTCAGGCATTGCAGATTCATGGCTTTAAGATTGAACCATCAACCAAGTTCAAAGAAGAAAGCAAATGGGAATGGGGAAGATAGGATCAGCACATTACCAGACCCACTTCTTGTCCACATTCTCTCTTTCCTTCCAACCAAATATGCTGTTGGAACCAGCGTTCTATCATCAAGATGGAAACACATATGGGCTTCCGTCCCCAATCTAGATTTCAATGAGTGGGAAATCTTTTCTCCGTTTGCTCTCCGGAAGCATCATTTCAGTTTCATGAATTTCATTAACAGAGTATTCTTCTTTCATGATTTGACAAATATTCAACGATTCAGTATAAATTGTGATCCAGATATTGATAAATCTCGTTTGAATATGTTTATAAGGGCTGCTATAATGCGTGGTGTCCGTGAAATTGATATCAACGTTTGTGAATCCGTGAATCTTAAGTTGCCAAGTAACCTCTTTACTTGCAATACCCTTGTAGTCTTGAAGCTTGGACCTCGACTTCAGGTTGATGTTCCTGCCTCAATTTCTTTCCCTTGTCTCAGGATCTTTCATGTATCGCTTATTTGTCCGAGTAATGACTTGACCCAGAAGCTCTTTTCTTCCTGTCCTGTGCTCGAAGAATTATCCATTACTGCGGAAATGGGTCGTGGAAAAACAGTATATAACATTTCTTCATCAGTTCTGAAGATTTTATACTTATCTTTATCTAGAAAAAAATCTGGAAACTCTGACATTGTGGTTATGGTTGATGCACCAATTCTTGAATGCCTTTGCGTCGAAGATTATTGCTTTGTTCACTATTGTCTGAACAACCTATCCTCAGTAGTTAAAGCATGTGTTAGTGTTGATGCCTTCTATCCACATGCCACACCACATGTGAACCAGATATTTGTGCTTTTGAAAGCAATCACTAATGTGAAGCATCTACATATACAGTCTAGAATTATGGAAGTAAGTTTACTCTTCCTTTTGATCATTTACTTTAACAAGAAGTGAAGTTGTAGATTGTCATATGTTATTTATCATTTTCTGAACTTTATCAAGAATCATTTCAGATTTATACAGTGGACTAATTTTATCATCTCTGATGAAGGCTCTCGGCTTTGCTAATGATGAAGATTGGCCTGTGTTTCCTAATTTGACCTGTTTGGAAATAGATGTTTGCAATGACTTTGGTTGCAAGAGTCTGTCAGACTTACTCATGCATGTGCCTAATTTGGGCACTATGGTATTGGTGAAGGTTAGTTAATGAAAAACAATTCCTAGTCTACGATTTGCCAATTCTTACCTTTTCTTTTTCAGTTTCTAGGGACTATTTCATGATACTCTTGAAACTTTGCAGCAATTCAACTGGTTGGAACCACAAGGGGTGCCAAGCTGTTTGAGGTCTTCCCTTAAAGAAATTAATATCTATGGCATTGATGGGTTGCAAGATGATCTTGATATGGTAAAGTATTTCTTGGGAAATGCGGAAGTCTTGGAAAAAATGACAATTGAGCAGGGAGATTTAAACATAGATGAAGAGAATGAGTTTCTTAAGAAACTTGCCATGTTTCCAAGGTGTTCAAAATATTGTCAAGTCAAACTTATTTGAGAATTCATTCATCAAGGTTTCTGGTGCCATTCTTCTGGAGGCATGTGTACTTATTTTGTAGGAAGTGATTGAGTTGGTTGACTGACATTTGACCCACGGAGATAGTTGTTAGTTTCTGGTTCCAAAACCTATGCTTTGAATTCTATTTTAGTAGTCAGACTACATATCTGATCTATGTACGTTTGCACACATATTATCAGTCTTTGACTGTTTTATATACTTCCTTTGAAGTTGTTACTGTGTAAAAAAATGGTAACATGTGACTTTGTTTAATTGTTACCTTTTACATGGCTATCCTTGCATCTATATATGTTTATATATTTTCCTTTTCTAGGTTTTAGATCTTCTGTTGATTACATGGAAAGATTGAATCTCAAATGGATACAATTTTTTATGACAAATGACCATATTTGTAACTGTAAGATTATGTAACAGCTTTACCGCAAAAGGATGGATCTGCTGTGGGTGTTAGCAAAAAGATGGATGTGACGACCCCGTTACGTATAATATTTTATATTTGGTTAATTAAGGAGATTTGGGATTTTAGTTACTCATTATCCTAATTTAATTTGAGAATTATGAGAATTGTAGAATATGATTTGTATATGATTTTATTAAAGATTTATTTTGAAATCAGAAATTAAGTGACCAAATGGCTTAAGGAAGTGAAATTAAGAAGTTAAATCAATTTAATTTTAATTATGGACCCATTTGAGAGTTTAATATATTCGATTCAGTTTAGTAAAATTGATTTTCGATTAATTAGGTCCGAATTTGAATCAATTTAATAGTAGAGCCTTATAAGAGCTTAATTAAAAATTTAAAAATTTGATTTAGATTCGTAAAATTAGATACAATCAAATTAAGTCTTAATTACATTAAATTAAAATTAGACAAATTATTTTTTATCAGAGATAATCGGCTATTAGACTAGCTATGTTGTATGGGACGAAGTGTTGGACAACCAAGAAACAACATGTAGATAAGATGAGTGTGGTTGAGATGAGGATGCTAAGGTGGATGTGTGGTAAGACTAGACAAGACAGGATTAGGAATGAGTGTATTTGGAAATGGGTAGGAGTAGCACCGATAGAAGATAAGTTGAGAGAGAATCGTTTGAGATGGTTTGGTCATATTCAACGGAGACCAATAGAGGCAGTAGTGAAGAGATGCGATACTGTAACGGTAAATGGAAATGTTAGGGGACGGAGTAGGCTTAGATTAACATTGACTAGCGTTTTATATAGAGATATGAATCTACTTAATTTGACTAATGAAATGACCTTTGATAGAGCCGCGTGAATAAGAAGGATTCATGTAACCGACACCATTTGATGGGACTTAAGGTTTGGTTTGGTTTGGTATTTTTTATCAGAGATAATCCTAACAAACGAAGTTCAAACATGATTAATTAGTTGATGGAAGGGCAGATTTGTGTTTGGTAAGTTTTATCACATCATGAATAAACCTTATAAAGACACGTGTCCCACTACCTTGTAATAAAATAGAATAAAATGATAATAAGAGAGATAGTTCATGATGTATTTTGTTGGAGGAGTTGTGGGAATTGCTTCAAACACTTTGAGACCCAACGAAAGGGAGAGAAAAACTGAGAGAGAGATAGAGAGTTCAATCTACTTGACTGCTGGAGAAGAAAAAGGGTGCTGAAAATTCAACAAAGAGTCCAAATTTTGAAGGAAGAACAAGAGAAAAGAAAGAAAAATTAACCAAATATGCTGGAAATAAAGTTTAAGATATGAGATCATGCTTGATTTCTTGTAATATTTATATTACCTTGAAATTAAAGATAAGTTTGGAATCAACATCATGTAATTGGAAGAAATTAACAAATTGATAAAGAAATTGATCTAGGTTATGGTTATTTGGTTATGGAAGTTAAATTGAGAATCAATTATGTTAAGTTTGATTTTTGTAGTCTTGCATGAATTTGAGTTCTATTTCTGCATGCATAAACAAATTTTGTAAGTTTTAATACTCTAATTGTACATGCATCATGGATTTTGAAGAATTTGAACTAATTCAATCTCATTTTTTTAAAGAGAAAAAGGAAAAGCTTTGAAAATTAGGAATTTGTTTGATTTTGATCTTTAATCCATGCATATAAATTAATTTAAAAGTTTTATTCAATTTAAACACATTTTAGAACATCTATGATTATAAATTAAGTTTTTGGTTAAAAATTGAGTCAAGCTGAATTTCTAAGAAATTGATTTGTGTAACTCATAGTTAAGTTGATTTTTGGTTATTAATAATAAAATTCGGTTCTACTTTTACACACATCATGAAATGTGAAATCTCCGCTCGACGCCCGCTCGAGCTTGAGACATGACTCCGCTCGAGCGGACTGTAAAACAGTGCAGAGAGATGCTGGATGCTCAGATTTCATGCTCGAGCGTTACTTTCCCCGCTCGAGCAAAAGTGCAAAATCTGGAAAACCCAGATTACACCTCCAAGCCAAAACCAAGTTTAAATGCATCAAAACCAATCCTCTTGGGCCCATTTTTCTGGAAAACATTTATAAACACATAGAATAACATGGTTCAAAGCTCAATTTGAGAAATCAAAGCCCAAGGGTGTTTAATTCACACTCAATTTCAAACCAATAACATAAACATGGAGGACATGCAATCATGCATGAATTTAAATCATTTTGAAGCTCCAATTTGATGCTCTAAGGAGCCAATTCTTTTCAAAACATGGTGAAATCATGGACTTAAACATAATTATGAACATGCATGTAACCTTTTGCCATGAAAACAACTCAAACATCTACAATTCAAACATGCATGCATGAAATATGCTCTATATCAACATGTATGAACTAAAACATGACTTAGCTCTACAATTTAACATGGACCATGCAAGAATTAGTTCAAATACAAGAATGAGAAGATGAAATCCTTACCTAGGTTCCTTGAATGCAAGTCTAGAGGTCCAATTTAGCAATCTACACTTCAATTACCAAGCAATTCTTCAAGTTTCCGAGCAATTCAAGGTGAAAAACCAATTTCTCTCCCTCTCAACTCTCTAGGTCGGCAAGGCTCAAGAAAGGGCTGAGGAAATGTTTGTTTCAAGTGTATACAAGGCTCACATTTTATATTGAGTGGGCCACTAAGGGTGGCAATTTGGTAATTACGGTAACTTTGCAATTAACTCGTTTTAATCTAATTTAATCATACCTAATCAGCTTTCAGATAAATACACTATAAAATCACATTAATTATAAGGATCATAAAACACCAATCAATTCCCGATTCGGCCGCCGATAAGGCCTTCAATTAGCAGTTTAAACACAAAACACAAACAGATCAAATAATCAATCAACAGATAAAAATGCAATTCAAACAGATGTACTCATTCAATCCAGTTCCAGTTTTCAGTCAGTCAGTTCAATTATCAGTCACAATCAGTTCAGTTTAACAGTAATCAATGTTTAACGGTAAGCAGTGGTGAGGGTTATTACACCGCTCGAGCGACCAAAGCGGCGCTCGAGCGAGGACCCTATATTTAGCAATTTTTGATTAATTCTTTTAGATGCATAATTGCATCCTCATGGCATTCTAAGTATTCTTAGGCACCAATTGGACTCACATAGTCATGGGATGAGCTAGAAATACATAAAGAGAGTTGAATTAAAATGACATGAATATTGAATGGTATTTCTATTGTGTTTTTGTTTTATGATTCGTTTAGGTGGAAGGCCTTATATCGACTTAAGCCACTGTGAGTAATAACCTTATAAAGATATGTTCAAATTATCTTTACTTGCGAAAATGTTATTACTATCAAAATGAATATGTGATTGTTTGAATGAATTCTTAAAATGATTTGATAATTGATAGTATGATTTATTGAAATGTTATGTCATTTAATGAATGAAGTTCTGTTTTGAAATTGTATTGTGGCATCCATTGAATGTAGGCCCTTGCCTGGGGGTAACAATACCATGGCTTTTGGATTGTTTGACATACGGTTCGTTATTACTGAAATGTTATTACTTCATGGATGTACCACATAAATTGACATTGAAAGATCTTGATGATGAAGTTAATGAAATAATGAAATGCTATCGCATAATGGTTTTTATTATTGTAAGGGATTTGATATAGAAAATGTTTTGTTATAAATTTGATATAATATGGCAATGCCTTATTTTGAAAATGATTTAAGAATCGTTTCGAAATTGTAAAACAGTTTTTGTATGACCGTTGAATTTCATTCATTTAGCTTCTTTAATTTGTTATTACTTGCTGGGTTTTAACTCACTATTTATATATATATGTAGGTGAGCAAACTGAGCAACAAAGATAGAGAAAGTCTCGGAGTCTACCCGTGTCAACCTTTTGAAGAGCTTCCGGAATGGAGCAAGTTAGGCTCGAGTAGAGCCAAGAAAATCAGCCCTTAGCTTTGTCAGAGCTTTGAATTTTGCTGAGTTTTAAATGTATGTGTGTGAGTTATATAAGATTTGTATATAAATTATTATTGTGTTTAAATGTTTTAATTATTTTAGTCATTGCGTATGCACAAGCTCAATGGACATTGTTATTTTTGTTTTGCTTCCGCTTTAGGCCCCAATATAATTTAAATATTTTGAAATTTTGTCTTTGAGGCCGAAAGTAATCTCGGATTACTGGCCGGTTACGATGTTAAACTTATAGGGCGGGTTTGGATCATGATAATGGATCTGCTGTAAGATTTGTGTAACAGCTTTACTGTAAAAGGATGGATCTGCTGTGGTGGGACAGTTTTTAAGATAATTCCAAAGACTATAGTAGTTTGTACTCTAAAAATTATAAAGGCTTGCAGCCCCAAATAAATTGTGTAACTAAATTAAAAAATATTTTTCAAGATGAGTTCTATAAAATATTTATCTCTTCTGTCTGTTATGTGTTGTTTGTTATTACGTTTATATATTTTTTTGAGTTACTTCTATTGTTGGATTTGTTCTTATTTGTTATCATCCTTGTTTTTTGTTTGTATGTGATTTATGCTTTTGTGTGTACGCACATATATATTTCATTTTCATTTGCTTATACCCTTGTTTTGTATTCATTCTTATTTGTTCATTGTATGGTATCAAAAATATTATCTGAAAATGGGAATATTGTTTATGTTTGACATGACATTCTTAAAAATGTGTTAATAAAATTTGATATTGTTCATTGAAACAAATTATCTTTTATATATAGATTGATTAGCATTGTGTTAATTTTTCTTGTTCTAGCTACGCAATAGAATGTATATTTTCAACCATGAAATTTGTTAAGATGAAGCTGCATAACAGGATGTAAGATGATTTTCTGATTAGTTACTTAATAG